CACCCCCCGAGCATATTTGTGTTCAGCCATATTTGCAGTTAAATTGCCTTAAACAGTTGACTTCACACATAAATGTCTTTTACTTGGCCAGAAAATCTTGCGCATGCGCCGCAAATAGGAGTTGTGCGTTGTTTGAGGGGGAGCTATTAACATAGGGGTGAGTAAATCTAATGACCCAATGTTGATTTTTTTTTTTTTTTTTACTATTCCTGTTCCTTTAAAGTAAATTTATACTGTATAATACAAAACGTTAACAACCCCCCCAAATATCACTGGGACAGTTTAGTTATAAATGATAACTAGGCTCATTGTCGCACTTGACGTGTCGAAGAAAAGGACGGCTCGCGCAAAGAGCGCCAAATGAAGTACTGTGAGGTGACACGTAACTGCTTAATGACAGAATGAAGAAACACGCTATACGATTAAAAAGAGGCGCGAACCGTAAAATAAACATTACTGCAACTGTTTTAGATTAGTATGTAGTAAATTTGATTTAAGGTAAGTTTACTTTGCTGTATGTTGGTATTTCGGGATGCCCAATGGGTTTTAATATGTTTAGTCATAATAAATTACAAAACTTAAAATTTATTTGACATTATTCTTGTATTTGACACGATGAAACGCTAAATAGTATCAACTGTAACGTGTAAAGCCTTTGTGTACGTTAAAATAGCGTTTAACTGTCTTGCCAGCAGAGGGCGCTGTAGTATTTGCTGAAATTACGCAATCAAAAGCACCTGCTGAGGGTTTAAGCAGCAGCGGAAACGGCTCTTAAATCCGGACTAGAGGTTTTTCTGACATGTATCATGTAAACAGCAGTGTTTTTGAGACTTCTCTTGTCTTAAGAGCTGAAGTGAAGTCTGTATGGATTTGACACTTTGTCTGTCTGATGTTTAACACGGTCATTTGTCAGTGTTATTGCAGTATTATAGCTTTATTTTATTTAGAGCTATCTTCTATGCAACTACTGTTTTGTTAGCATTAACGTATTACACCAGGGGACTGTTTTGAGGCCAAAGACCTGTTATATGTCATATGAAACGGAGTGTTGCATTTGCAGCCTGGCTTATAATAATAGGTTGTAAAGTTAATGTATTCCTATACTTTGATATGATGGTTATATCGCCAGTAAAATAAATAAAAATAAATTAGTCATATACAGATTCATGCTCTTGTACATTCCATTTTAATTTTGTTTACCTTTTCTTGATAATAAGGTGCATCATTGATTAAACTGTTGTAAAGCGCTATAACATATTCTATTATAATGAAGCCGTTTTCCCCCTTCTTCTTCTTCTTCCAGTGTCATTCTGCTTTTGCCTCAGCCTGACGTAATCCTGATGACCCTGAAATAGTCCAGCACCTTCATTCTTCTGCAGTTTCTGAAGGTAACATTAGGCTATTTTTGTAAATGATCTGGGGGCATTTCAGCTGTTGTGCCTGCTGATTTGCTGAAATCTATGAAATATGAGCAAGTATTTTCTCGCAAGGTTTGTTTCAAGGTACTATTTGATGTTCATTTACTCTTTAAAAGCTCACCCTGACATAATTACTCTGCATGTCTCCTGCACTCTGTGTTATTTCTGTATCCAATGTAATGCGTTCCCACTGATGACGGCAGATTTGAGATGCTCTGCTGGAACCTTCTTTCAGAGATCAAATATAATGGTCTGAAATAAGCGGGAACAGATGGACTCAGATCTATTTTTGGAGGGTGATGTAAGAGAATCTGACGGGTGCTTAGAAGTTTACATTGCAATCTTGGTTACATTCCAGACCATTTTAGAGTCAGAATTAATTATTTATGTTTGTTGCACCATTGTCTAATCATTCAGGAATTATGTTTTTAAGCAGATTTTTTGTTTTTTTTTTACAAAATAAAGTACACAAATCATATTAGTAGCAAAAACCTGGACATGCAATAGGCCTTAAAGACCAACAGCAAACAACAGCAGTTGCAAACCTTTAATCATAATTCGGAAAAGCTCATTAATAGCCAAGAGATGTTAAAACACTATAAAATAGTTTCTAAATAAAATAAAAAAACAAGCAAAATAATTTTGTAGCGAAGGTGTATAGAGAATTTTTTTATTATTTAAATTATGAATATATATATATATATATATGTGTGTGTTTGTGAATATAGAATGTTTATTTGAATAAGTACAATTATTTGTGAGATTAAAAGAAGTGGTGTGGTGGATGCTAAAGTGCAAATTTGAGACATTTTGAGACAAAGACCATTTTGTCTTGTGTATGTGGTAAAAATCTTGACTGAGACCGATATACCGTTTTTTTTGCTTCATTCATCCTGATCATGTCAGTGATATCAAACTTTCTGATTATGGTTTCGTTTTATCCAGCTTCCAGTGTCATGACTGCATGTTCCAGTAGGTGGAACTAAGTGCTGCCAATGTGACTAGGTTAAAAGATGTAAATGTAGTTTTCAGTATATCAGTTTTCCATGAAGTTTTTGGGTAAAGTCTTGGAACGTTTGCTGAGATCTCCAGTAAACACTTATGTTTGGATGTGAAGGTTATGTGAGACAAGTTTCTTTTTTCAGTGGCTCTTGCCTCTGTTTATTAGTCACAGAAGGGACAAGAAGTTATTGAGGTGAGACCGGAAGAATGGGGCTGGCTCATAGTCTGCTCTCAAACCTGCATTACTTGCGTAAGTATGACGGCTAAGACCTGTCAAGAGCATGTGCTGCACCGCGGCTCTTACAGAGAGCATCTCATCTGAATGAATTTACACCAGATGTCTGACACGTATTCTCTCAAACTCTTGCTGTGAAATGCTCTTAATTAAAAGCATAAATGACCTAAATGACTAGAATTTAACATCTTAAAGGGAAAATTAACAGTTTGTCTACATTTACTAACATTCATGTTGTTGCAAACCCATATGCTTTAATAGGGGCAAAAACACCAAAAATCACCATAAAAGTATAATGCGCTATAATCATAGTCTTTCGATTAGCCATACAATAGCTTTGCGTGAGGAGCAGACTGAAAGTGAAGTCACTGATAACTTACCTTTTTCCCCACTGAAGCTCTAATTTACATTTAGTCATTTAGCAGACACTTTTATCTAAAGTGATTTATAAATGAGAAATATCTCAAGCAATTTATCATGAGATTCAACCGTTCTTCCTGGAGTAAATTAGATAAGTACGAAAAAAATCCTGAAGAAAGATAGAAAAAGACATATTATTTATTTTTTATAACAATTTATTTATAGGACATGTCTTTAAATATGGTTGTGGCATGTCATGTTTGTTTACTACACATATGATAACCACTATTATTTTGACATCAATTTATGTAAATGACTGTTTAAAGATTCTTCAAAAATTGGATTGGTCATGGCCGTAAATGTTCCAATACAAGTATCTAAATATCATTAAATCAAGATACATTTACTTGAGATGTATTTTATGTTTCCCCCCTTTTTTGGGTAAAATTGTCAAATTAAGTTTAAGCATAAAACAAGAACAAATATCTGTGAATGGGGTATAAAAACTTTCCCCCTCTCCAATTAAGTTTTTATTTGTTCTTGATTTAGTCATAAGCTCCCTTCGTTTTGATTAATGTCTAATAAAATGAGACTTCTTATGTCATTTTGTTTCTCAGGGTAAATAATGTATCTTGAGATCCTAAGAGTTTTTAGACATTTGCACTGGAAAACAAGACAAATACTGATACTTATTTTCAAATTAAAGTTGTATTTTCAATCTTTGAAGCATTGCTAATACAAGACATTTACATTTAGAGAGCATATTGACATATTCCATCAAATTTATCTCCTTAAATTCTCTTCACTCAGTCTAAAAAAGGTCTTAAAAGTCTTAAATTTGCTATCATAAACCCTGCAGAAACACTGGAAAATAATGACAGAATTGATTATATTTTCAGGTGAATTATGCTTTAATAAGGTGAGCAGTTTCTGGAGGCATTAAGTGAATGTTAAGTGAAGTAAGTTTTTCACCGTGTCTTCATGCAGCCAGAGACTTTGATTAGCAGTTGCACATTTCAGCATCTGCTCATAGAACAGGTGCTCTCATCAACGATGCATGTAACATCAAACGTTCTCCAGACGGAAATAGTAAAGTGTTACCGTAGTTTAACAAATCGCCGTGGTGTATTATGCAGTGGTCTTCTCTTCCTGAAGGGTGAAGTCTGTTCTGTCGGTAAAGTTGTCCTGATCGTTCCCTTGTATTTCCCCCCTCTAGTCCTTCACTGCAGACAAGAACTGACAGTATCCCTCCTTCTTACACGCCCTTTCCGCTGACCTTTCCGGTCTACTTTTCTCGGGTCCAGGCGGGAGTGATGAAGCCTCTCAGTGCTCAGGCAGTATGACTAAGACCGAATAAGATTACCTGTGACATGGGCAGGGGAACTGAGGCACTAGAGTGTTTGTTCAGTGACACGGGCGTGCTGCAGTGCATTGTGGGGCCGGAGTCGATGCATGTTCCAATGAACTGCCTCATTCGTCTCGATATGATCACTCTGGTCTCTCTCTCTCTCCCTCTCTGTCTCTCTCTCTTCCTAATGGGTAGGAACAGCTGTGAAAAAGAGCACCTCACACTAACATCAGCCATTATTTCATTACCCTGTATGTTGAAGTGTGCAGAGAGCCGAAGTACGTTAATGAAAACAGCACCATGTCAACACGGATTGGATGTGGCATTTATTACAGATATTACAGCCTCAATCATCCTGATGCATTACACACACGATTGTGTGAAATGTTGAAAGTGAACACAGGTTTTTATATTGATTTACTTTATTTCATGTTATATAGACGGGACAATTTCCACCAGCTTGTTGTTTCACAGTAGAAATGTTTTTGACACTTCTTTGGAGATTGGAAAATAGCTCTTGGATTTGCAGAGATTCCTCTAAATAAATGACAGTATACTAGATAAGGGTGCTCCGATCAGGATTTTTTGGATCGACCGTTTGCGTTGATGTGACAAATACATATTTTGAATATACTGTGAGAACTCATTGCCCCGTTAGCTCGGAGAGCTTTATTTTCCCTCCTCAATAAGTTTTGTCAGTTGTTTTGTTTATTGGACTAATTCTTTTTTCTTGGGTTGCATTGGTTAGTCACTTAATTAATTCTCTTGTGCTTCGTTCCCCCCTTCTGAATTATGTTGTATTGATAAGGAGTTATCACAAAGTAAGTCTGTTTAGTTGCGCTATCTTACAATCAATATATAGTAAATGTAAGTTAAAGTGTGGCCGATGTAACCGGTTAAAACTGGCAATGAGGTCTTAAAATTAGGGCTGCACGATAAATCGCATGCGATATTTAATGCGCATCTTGTCAGAAAGCCGGTACTGTAATCAGCGGTAAATCTCCATCACGTGCGTGCTTTCACATTTTCACATTCACTGACGAGCTGCGCAAAAAATCGTAAGTGAACAACGGCTCTGTGTAGTTAATGCTGCTCAATGTGAAAGCATGCACATGATGGAGATTTACCGCTGATTACAGAACCGGCTTTACTGATAAGATGCGCGTTAAATATCGCATGCAATTTATCGTGCAGCCCTACTTAAAATGTATAGAAAGAGTCTTAAAAAGGTATTAAATTTAACTCCATGATTCATTCCTGTATATACCCTGACACAGCACAAGCCTGATTTTGTGAGCTGTATGTGAGGCGGCCTCATGCCAGGTTCGCACATACTCCGTTTGCAGTGCGTATGCAGTCCATGTGCGCAGTGCAGAAGCAGCACGGACTCATTGTGCTTTCACTCAAGAGGTCTGCTACTGGTCCGCGGCTGTTTGCCACAAACACAACATTGATCCTTTTTTATGTCAAATTCAAACGTTACTAAAAATGCTTTTTGAGCATTGTGATTCTGTTTTTACACAGTACAGTAATACAATTTTTTCATAGACATGTTTAAACGCAATAAATATAAGCAAGAGTATGTGTGAACCTGGCATTATGTGTGCGTGCTTTGAGTGTGCATGAGCGCACTGTCTCTAGGAGAACGCGCAAGTGCGATTTGATTTAAACACTGACAAGAAATTAAAATGATAAACTTTAGTGACGATGCAACACTGCCTCGTTTGTGCAAGTGGCAATTCCTGTGTGAACTGTGCAGCTCGCTTATTGTGCAGATGCCATGTGCTGATTTGAAGCCATTTGCGCATTTAGAGAGGGAAAGAGAGAGCGTCCGGGGGTTTCACGCTGTTTGTGAAATTACGTCTCACAGAAAGTTTTCAAATTACTTTGTAAGTTATTTACTGAAGAAATATGAATTGTACCTCACCTTTAGCATTATAATAATTTACCCGCGCCGGACAGAGATTGAGACGGTGCCGCTGCATGTCATGCCAAACCTTTCACAGCAGGCACGTCGTCAGCTTGAGATCGGTTTAAGAGATTGTCCTTTATAGAGACGGCCGATCAAAGCCATTATCCAAGCCATTATCGGCCGATAGCGATCGTGGCTGATCAATCGGAGCACCCCCAATACTAGAGTCAAGTCAGGGTGCTTGACTGGTTGTGCTTTAAAGGTGACATATCATGAAAATCTGACTTTTCCAGGTTTTAAGTGCTATAATCAGGTTCCCGGTGCATCTACCAACCAAGGAAACGTGAAAAAGATTAACCCAATCACTTTGTTTTGGTAAGCCTTTTTCTGCAAGCTGTTTGTGAAATTACGTCTCACAGAAAGTTTTCAAATTACTTTGTAAGTTATTTACTGAAGAAATATGAATTGTACCTCACCTTTAGCATTATAATAATTTACCCGCGCCGGACAGAGATTGAGACGGTGCCGCTGCATGTCATGCCAAACCTTTCACAGCAGGCACGTCGTCAGCTTGAGATCGGTTTAAGAGATTGTCCTTTATAGAGACGGCCGATCAAAGCCATTATCCAAGCCATTATCGGCCGATAGCGATCGTGGCTGATCAATCGGAGCACCCCCAATACTAGAGTCAAGTCAGGGTGCTTGACTGGTTGTGCTTTAAAGGTGACATATCATGAAAATCTGACTTTTCCAGGTTTTAAGTGCTATAATCAGGTTCCCGGTGCATCTACCAACCAAGGAAACGTGAAAAAGATTAACCCAATCACTTTGTTTTGGTAAGCCTTTTTCTGCAAGCGTCTGAGAAAACGAGCGCGTCTGATTTCGCTCCCTTGGTGACGTGGCAAAGGGATCTCATAATATTAACGCCCCTTAATCTGTAAACTTCCACTCAAGGCACCGTCATTTTGATTTCGCAAGCGACAACGGTGTACCAGCTCTAATCCCATGGTGAAAGTTTGAGCAAAACATGCTAACTGTTCTATCTTTGGCTGCAGAGACGAGCACAGGACACTATTTACAGTCCCAGCCTCAGAGGAGACAAGAGAGCAGTGGATTTATTGATTTATTTA